TGAAATCAGGCAAGAGGGATGCTATGGCTTCACTGACTACTCGACATACAGTCGACTGGCTGACATGGAACAAGTCAGCAATTGCTAACTGCATATATGCAACAGTGTAAAATCGCAGAGCAATCGGAACTTGCTCCACTGGATTTAGGGCATTATTACATGGGGTTTTGCTTTCTTCAATTAGCAGAGTCAATTCTGCAACACTTTCTTTTGTCAGTCGGCTCTGAAACTCATAATCGTCGAATTCCTCGAACAAATTACTTCTTTCAACTCATTTTCTGGTTTCCAGTTTTTCTAAAAAATCTAACTGAGTAACAGTGGAAACTTTCTGAATAGTATTCATTGTAAACTAGAACTCAAACTACTTCAAAACTTGCACGAAAACGTAAACACTCGAAAAATCGCTTACTGCGCATGTGCGGTTAAAACTTACCCGGCTGTGACGCTGAGTAAGGATTTTTTTAACTCGAACCGCAGTCCAGTTATTGACTGGCGACGTTTTCGGCGAAACCCCGGTTTCCTTCCTCTAACCGGCGCTTCCTGCCCCTAAGAGAGATATGTCCATTGCCTTCACACCCATTTGTTAAGCGACGAGAACGCTGTCTGAGACTTTCACGCTGAGCCACTCGACAGATCCCTTCTGCAGGGCGACTAGAACCAATGACCCGAGTCTAAGCATGAACTTGCGGTTAGGAGCCCTCGACAATCACGGCCACACGCTTAGGGAATTGGAAAGCGAGCAGGTCAATTAAACGACCCAAAAATAAATAATAAAAAAAACGCACCTTACAATGGATTAGTGAAAACAAAAATTCCCTATCTTCCCCTCTAGAGAGGGAGAGTTATGTTAACGGCGCCCTATAAAGCAACACGGGAGGTAATGGTGACGTTATTTTGAACCTAGGTCAAGCCTTAGCTGGTATCCCCCTATCCTAATTACTATACTTCACCAACAGGAGGACGTTTCAGCTCTCGACAGATTTAACGTGCATCGCTCCCCTACACGGCTGGGCCTCAGTGATACCTCGACTCACCCCCGATTTCTTGACTGAAATCCCTGGGCTGCCGCATCCTCACCCCTCACTAGAAAAAAAAGAATATTATGTTTAAATATCTCATCTAAAGTTCAATTTTTAACCGTTGGATTGTGCAAAAAAAAGGGTGGCAAAGATAAAAACGAATCTTTCCCCCCTCCCAACAGCATTTGGTCTCGAACAGCGATACGCAACCTGCGGGCCTTTCTCATGATTTCGTCCATCGGCCAATCAAACATGTCCATGTCGTGCTGGTACGAAGTGTAAGATAACTTTCTTTTTTGTAATTGTAACAATTAGGGATAACTGTGGAGTAGCGACTATTTTATGGGTGACACTAATTTTTAATTAACCCTCATGTCTTTTAAGCGAAAAATATCTCGAGAATATATATTGTTTCAAGATTATTGGGATCTTGAATATTAACAAACCTAGATCAACAACTTATTTGATTTGTCGAGGAAATGTTATAAGTAACAAAGTGTAATTTTGCTCGTCACTGTACCACTAAGCAATGAGTTGAGGATCTCTCAAGACGAGGTAAATTGGCTTCCTTAAAAAATCTTTGCAACAGCAACAAAACATTTTGTCGGTGGTCATGTCACAAAAAGCATCCTATAAAATGTGTTGCTTTTTGATATTGATAAACGTATAGAATGGTTGAGGAATTGATACAGAAATTGGTAGTGTTTCGTAAATGCTTCCGATGTACTATTTGATATAAATTCAGTTATTTGTTCAGATATTTTTTTAATAAAATCAAAAAGTATTTGAATGAATTTGCACAAGACTTTGATTTCAATCTGGAATTGAGTAAAAACTGTTTGCTACCGTCCTGCATTTGATAAATTAATACCTGAAACAAAAATAAGTGAAACTTTGTAAAAAGAAAAAATCAAAGTACAAGGCAGCTTTATTTTTATGACAGTAGAATGCCAACAAGGGGCTTGGGATCAATGATAAAAGAAAATCGAAATGACTTCATAACTGGGTAAAAAATGCTTAAAACCTATTTTCTGTCAGTTGAGTTTGTGAGAGATTAATTGTAGTTTTCAAATAAAATCCGAAATTAAGAGTTTTAATATTTTGATCAACTTTCTTCCTTTTCATTGTCTTTGATCTTACCTCGTTTCCCTTCCTCATGTTTCGGCCCGCGTGAAATAGTTGTTATATGTGGCCGAAAAAAAGGTTAAGTAGCCCTGGTCTAGAATTTTATTGAACCAAAATAACACACATTTTTACATCGTGCTCTTATTTTTTTACGTGCATTCAAAACATGTTAAAAGCATCAATGTATGCAATAAAAGAGAAAAATATATCAACGAATAAATACAAAAGTTTTAGAAAAGAGATGTTTATAGAGTTATTAGATAGACAAGCAATATATATTTTTCTCTCTTTCGTACGAGTATTAATTGAGAAGCACGGTATCTTCAGTCAAACCTTTTCCCAGATCTTGCACGCAATTGGATCATTAACACGCCTACGAATTGATGGAAGGTAGTGTTTGAAAAGAGAGCAAAATACATAGGATTTTTTCCATAGTTAGAAACGAATAAAGCATTCATTACAAATTATCAGAATCCATGAGTCGAAAAAGTAAGAAAGCCATTTTAGATCTCTCTCATGGTCAAGATTCAACACTATTTTACTCCCCCCCCCCGCCCCCCAAAAGAACAAGTATTTCGTTTCACAGTCGTAAAGACTGTGGCCCTCTTCCCCTTGCAGAGAAAGGGGAGGATTCTATTGAAGGAAGTGCGCTACACACAGAGAGAAATTTTTTTTTTCTTGCCTTTTTCGAAATCAACCAAAAGCGGAGAGCAGAGTGCACACGATCTTCTCTTTTCAAACAATCAAATCTCACCAGCAATGACATCCAATAATTCACAAAATAGCTGTAAATTTATGTTTCGAGATATCTTTCCGATTTTTTCGAAATTTCGCAATTGTCCATAATTCTGGAGATCTTCGTATAATAAGGACCATTATAAATTTATCGTCTTCCATCCTCTCAAAAATTGACACATTTGTTGAGTAATTCAGGGTACCACTGAGAATTGTACCTCTCGTGAAATAGGTTGCCAACCCCTGTTCTATTGTATAAAAGTAAAATTGTATCATACTGTTTGTTCATTAAAACGTGAAATTTAATTTTTCATTGCTTTAAATCCACCTATTCTTCCTTTAAAAATCATTTGTTCAGGAAAAATTAAACAGTTTCGTTCTGTACATCATTTATCTAGAGAATTGATCGACAAACTGTGTTCCACGAGTCCCAATAAAAAAAAAATGGGAAAGAAAAATTACAAATATGTATGCAAAATGGATTTATGTTCTCATGAAATTCGGTTAGCCACAATTATCTAAAGATCTTTTTTAACTTTTATTGTAATATAATAAATGAATTTTAAAACTTTATTTTATGCAGTAGATTGTGAATATACTATTGTTTGCTATCCCAAGTTCCACGAAGTAATTTTATACTCGTTAGTACAATGTTTTGAAACCTTTTACATTTGTGGGGGAAAAAACACCTATAATGAAGAAGATAAAAAAAATTTATCGACATATGAACAGATTCGATGCTAAAATTTAAATTTAAGCTAGAAGACCTACATTTTAGGTTACCAATTCATGCCATATACGCAGAATTTCTCACACAGCTATGAACATTTTCATGCCATTCACAAAAATGTATTTAGAAAGTGAAAAATATTTTTAACGCGATTGGCAACAAAAACAAAAACGAATTGAACACGGAATATGAAATGCTACTGCAGATAATTTCAAAAAGCTTATACGTCGATAGTTTGTGTAAAAAAAAATTGTGAACACATATATATCTCAGTTACTAAGTATAATGCATGCGTAGGTGACATTTGGATCACAAATTTATATTATCAATGAGTAAATAACATTAAAATTACATCATAAAAGTTTTTAATAAAAAATAAAATATTTTTTTAAAATTGTCTTTACATATAATATCAAAAATATGTTTATCTATATACTTTAAATATTATTTTAAGATATATTCCCTTCAGCGAGGAAGGGGATTCCTCGAAAACATGTTACAGTTCTAGGGATTCCAAGAGTTGAAAAAGTTTGACGATTGACCAATGTCCAGAAATGAGAAGTCTTTCATGGTCAAGATTCACTCTGCTGCTTTAACCCCCTCGCCCGAAAAAAAAAAAAAAAAAGAGCTAACATTTATTTTACCAGTTTTACGACTGTCACCCCTCCCTTAGCCCCCGCGTGTTCCCTTTCGCTGAAGGGGAGAATTTCATTGAAAAGGTTAGCCGAGAGAGAAATTTATTGCCCATCTTGGGAGTCTTGAGACAAATATTTGTGCCAAAAATTTCGCAATAGCCAACGCCATCTAGATGTCATGTAAGGTGTTAAACTAATGGCCCGCCATCACCTTAAGGGGATCGAAATTGTGAGATGCAAAATTCCTGGGTACAAAATCTCCATAATTTGCTAAGTAAATTTGATAGGGATTACAGTTTCGAAGATTCACAATCTGGAGAGGAAAAGAATTTTTTTTTCAAAAAATTCACATTAAATCCTGTATTTAAATGAAAACTTAAGAAACATTACAAAATCCATCCTCTGAATTTCTTACTGTTCTTCCGGAATACATTTTAAAAGATAGCAATCAAATTTTGGTATAATATTTTAATCCTATAGAAGAAGGAATGGAACAAGTCATATTTAAAAAAATAATTAAGTCAATTCCTACTTAGGTTGAAATTTTTTTTATCTTAGTTACTTTTTAATAGTTACAATTAATATAAAAATACGTATATACAGATTACATAATCATAATATTAAGTGACAAAATAGAAAGCGCTTTTCCTTTCTATATAGGGTGTTGAACTATTTTTTTTTTTTGTTTGTTACTATTTATTCATTAATTAAATGTAATTACTCTAATAAAATAGAATAGTAAAAAAGAAATTCGTCCATCCCAGGTGGGATTCGAACCCACGACTTTTGTATTAGAAGTTCATCGCGCTTTCGACTGCACGACAGGATTCAAAACGAGCGATTTTCCTTTTTGTATACGCTGTTGAACTATTATTTTTCTTTGTTACTACTTTTTCATTTTTTAATTTAATGAATCAATTAATATTTGAAAAAATCCACTATAAGTTTTAAAAAATGTATTTGAACTTGAATGGATGAATAGAAATCACTTTATTAGCGATTGAAAGTTTGAACAAGATATATATAAAGAAAAGTGTCACGTCCAAGACAAATCTCGAAGCAAGAGAGAAAGTGACAAAATATACTTTTTCCCCAGATTAGACGGAACACTTCGTCGAATGCCAAGGACTAAGGAATGAAAGGAGGGCAGATAAATCGGTCGACTCTCTCCAGAAAATTAGAAGGGGGTAGCTTTAATTGAGAACCGAGATGAAGTGAAGACAGCTTCGATGAACTTTGGATTGTTCTGCAAATGTGAGAAACGTTCCAGTGGTTACTTTCATGATTTAGAAGTCAGCGCACGGTTGCAGTTTTCTTTTGGTACAAAAGATTTTCTTTTCTCTCGCAGATGCGGGGCAGGATTCGAAAGGAGTTGTTCTTTTGTTCTTTTTTTTTTTTTTTTTTTTTGGTTCCACACACACACGAGTTCTTAATTCTTTCGTGTCCACTGACGTCTTAACAACAAGGGTGGGTCAGAGACGTAACGTATATTGTGGGGGAGCCCAGGGTTCTAGGGGGCCCAAAGCCTGTCTGACATCATCCTTTGTAATATCCAACTTGGGGCTCGAAACCTGATTTTGCAGGGGCGGGCCTTCCGTTACGCCACTGGGTGGGATATCTGAGGAATGTTTCCTCTCCTGTATCTTTTTGAGTATTTTTATAATACGTGGGGATAGTAAAATTATTAATGTGAATTCAGTCAATTTTATATAAAAAATAAATTTGTGATTACATTGTTTTTTAAAGCAACGTAAGGTACACTGACGACGCACCTCGCAATTTTGAGCTCCGGTCAAGTGACGTGTGTGGCAACCGAGTTGATACAAGCTTCGGCATCCGTTCGGTGGGTCTTCAGTGGCACCGGTCTTGATCCCACTATTGGACAGCGCCGGGCACAACTCGACAGCCACATGAAATCGTCAAAGAAATATAATATCTTTCAAAATTCCAGAAACTTCTACATAGAAAGACAGAAGTGAAACAAAGTGAAGGACTCAAACAGAACGGTGAGAATGGATTCGTTACTAAACGTAGTAAGTTAACTTTTGAAACAGAATTTTCACGTGGAGGAACTTATGCGGTTGAATTTATTGGGAGACAAAGCCCTCAGTTAGAAAAATGAAAAGAATTGTAGCTCAGGTGTAGACCTCGTCACTTAACGGTGGCTCAAAATTGCGAGGTCCATCGCCCAAAACCTTTGTATTACTCGTAGCACGATATTATTAAAACAAGCAGTATTTCATTTTTTTAAAATTATCTGTAATCAGATAAATTATCTGTAATTATCACATAATTCAAGTGTTTTCATTTATATAAAATATGCATTGAGACGACAAGAGGGAAGTGGTATAAACTGATCCATAATAGCTGAGAAATTTTTTTTTCGAATCAAATTTTCAAAGTAAAATGAGAAAATCTCTCGTTTTGCGTGTATTTTTCTGTTTAGTCCACCTTCAGGGATGTGAAACAGCAACATAAACTTCTCTTGGCACAGAGAGTCGTTCTTTCGAACAACCGAGAAAGTCCTCTACTTCACTGTCATCACAGGAGGAGGGATGCACTCCCTCCCCTACCGAAACGTCGGAAAGGGAACAATAAAATCTGGCAGCTCCGTGCCAGCTCATAAATCGAGCCTCCCTCCTTTTTGCAGAACCATAAAGAAGAGATTCATAACACACATTTCTACACAAATGGTCGATAACACAAGTTTTAAAGCATTTTAGCAGCACCCACCAAAGTGATTGTAAAAAAATCGAAAGAGTGGAGTCGTAATTCTCTTCTTAAAGCGCCGTTAGGAGGAGAGTTAACTGTAACTTTGGGTCGTCGAATAAACATTGGCACACATGCAGAGCGAGAACTTGTCTCTGTTGAGCTGGAATGGTGCTGATAAAAGCTGTTGTGGGCCCTTTTAGAAGAAAGTGGGGATCAGGAGAGGGTTGGGGTGTGAATAACAGCTTCCGCGACAAGCCTTTTCCTTTTGTTTAAATCTTTTGATACGGAAAGCGAAGAACAATTTGTGTCACAGAAGTCAAGATTTGTTTTAAAGCCTATAGTGTGTTTCTGTAATACTTGGGGCTTAACACACTCGATCGTGTCATATGGCGAGGCACAATTTCAGTACCATTTGATCACTTCGTCATTTGGCGGAATGAAACGCTTCAGCTTCATGCCACGCTACTCATGACAATGGAGGTACATCAATGATAATTAGCTCTGCTTAGTATTAAGTTACCAGAAATTGTGGAATGTAAAGAGGAAAACATTCAAAAAAGATTTCTATAGGATTAGCTTTCAGTAAAAAATCAAAACATTCAATGAATAAAAATACAGTTATTCATAATTCCAAACAGGATTGTGAAGAGCTGTAGTAAAAAACTATGTTGAATACACAAATAAAAGAAACAAACAGAAAAAAAAATTAGAAAGAATACAGAGAAACAATTCAAGTTTTATTTACATCCTTTACTATGTGTGAAACTTAGTTACACGGCATACATCAATGCAATAATGCAGTTCCTGCCACACTCAACGCAACATGGAACTATCAAAATCATTGACAGCGTGTGTTATCCTTTCATGCACGTCTGCTACATCACTTTGGTTCAAAATGACGGTCACCCAAAGCCCTCGAGTAGCTGAACAGTGCGACCAGGGCCGGCTCTAGAAGTTTTGCCATGCCGGACAAAAATGGAAAATGCCGCCCCTCTCTAAAGCAAAAAATTATAATTAAAAGAGATGAATTGTTCACATAGATACACACCTACGGAATAATTTTTGCGAACGTAAAGGGAACATAACAATTATATGTATATGTAGGATTTAAAGTATTAGAGAATTAAATATATTCTCCGATCAATGAGGTTACAACCTCACCAATAGATGGCGCTACCAGCGAATATATGTATCCCCCGGAATGACGGGTTTTAGGGGAGAAAACGATTGCGACGCGGAACGAGACAGACGCGATGAGAAGAGACTCCGGTTTTACAGGCGAGAAGCGGCGTTTTTCGGTCAACGTGGAGGCTAATAGGCTTAGCGACAATTGAGAGTATGCTCCGTGAAATAACTCGTAAAGTTTTAATTGTAAATATTCTAATGTTTCATTAAACAGTAATTTCATTCTAATCTGCTTATTTCTTTGAAATATCAAGCTCCCAAACATTACTTACCCCTAGACACCCCTACATATTTAATGGGGGCTCGACCGGGATATTTTTTTTTTAATTTAAAGAAAAAGAAAGCAGAATCGATTCCAAATTGCCAAGGATTACCTTTTCCATCGCGAAGTAATGTGCCATCCTGCCACGAATAACATTTGTTTTTACTTCTGATTGCCGCCCTGGTAATAGAATTCTTTCAGTGCATGCCGCCCTGGTATTAGAATTTCATCAGTGTGTGCCGTCCTGGTGAAATAGTTCCTTCAGTGCATGCTGCCCTGGTATTAGAATTCCTTCAGTGAGTGCCGTCCAGGTGAAATAGTTCCTTCAGTGCATGCCGCCCTGGTATTAGAATTTCTGCAGTGTGTGCCGTCCTATGAAATAGTTTCTTCAGTACCTGCCGTCCTGGTAATAGAGTTTCTTCAGTGAGTGCCGTCCTGGTGAAATAGTTATATATTTAGTGAAAGTTCAGTGCATGCCGTCCTGGTAATAGAATTTCTACAGTGAGTGCCGCCCTGGTAATATAATTTCTACAGTGAATTCTGCCCTGCAATAGAATTTCTTGAGTGAACGTCGTCCTGGCCAAGCGGAAGTGCAGTCCCTGCGTTTGAAATTGTAAAGATTTGTGTGTGTGCGAAAGTGAAAAACCTTCAAGATAGTGTAAAGGACTCGTATCCGCCATTTTGCACGGGAGGAATAAATATTCAAAAGGACGGATTAGGTTGATGAAGTAACCGACTTTTGTGACGTAGGAAAAGAAGGGAGTGTTAGTTTCTCCTTCCCTCTTTTGTGCCAAACCCTCAGCTCCGTCAAGGTCAGACTTATTTATGTTTACTTATCTGTTATTTTTTTTTTTTTTTTTTTTTGACAATCAGTATTTTGATGATTTGCCTTTTTGAACCAATATTTTTTTAATCTGAGCATATATTTGAAACGAAATTTATTTTAGTTATTTCTATTCTCTCTATAATTTGTATGAACATATTATTCACCTAATTTTGCCATTATATACTTTCATATTATTTTCTTTCTTTTCGAATTTGTATTTAATAACTATTAATTTTGTATTATATATCCCAATTTAAATTATTACTTGATATGTTTTAAAAATTATTGATGCATGATATATTATTATTTGAATTTTACATTGGTTTCGGAAATTTTTAATTGAAAAATTTTATTTGTATAACTTTTATGTATTTAGTAGAAGTGTGGGTAAAATTTAGCAGCGCTAGCATCCTATATCTTTCACAGTATTTAGTACTATACCTGTTATTCTTTAGTACAATAATTCTTGCATAAATTCTTAACCCTTAATTAAAAAGGGGGAAAACATGTCTTTCTTGTTAAAAGGGAAAAAAGGAAGATTTGTTAGAGTTAGCTACAAAGTTAGGTTTAGAGGCGACAGTCGACATGACTAAGCCAATGTTAAAAAATTTAATAACCAAAAGTGCAGGGTACGATGAGGAAGACACCAAATTGATGTACGAAGGTATCGTTGAAGAGAGAAAGGAGAGAGAATTATTAGAAGAAAGGAAACGATGGGATAATTTAGAGTTAGAGAAACTTAGAATCTCAAAGCTCAGATCAGATTAAATCAGGAAATATTGAATAGGAATAATCGTACACCTAGTATTGAATTGAACAAACTGTTACCTAAATTTGATATGA